GGTGCTTACTACTACTACTACTACTTCTTCTTCTACTACTATTACTACTCCTGCTGCTGCTGCTGCTGATGCTCTTGTTGCTAATGCTCATCAGATATGTTTCGACAAGTGCAAGCTCCCTTCGTTAACATTATCGCATGGCCCAGTCAAGGTTAGCTTGCTGAATCTTGACAGGCTAAGGGCGCTACCAAGTACTGTTGTCCAGCTACAGTGCGTGTTCTTGCATCTTTTGCAACACCCCCGAGCCTCATGATGCGGAGATGTGGTCAGCTGGCAAGCCGGCGCTTGGGCCCCTTGAGCGCCTGGAAATGGAACGAATCTCTTCCCGGAGTGCATTGGCGCTTCTTCAGCCAGATGCCAGCGGAGATGAGAGCGGTGGTCTGGAGGGGCTCACCCGACCCTGGTCAAATGAAGCTGGAAAGTTTCTGGGTTGCTCTTAAGGAACTTGATTTATTGTGTCTATATCAGGGGAACCATGTTAATTACTATATGCACCCAATATGGTAACTCAATTTCAGTTCCTTAACAGCAACCCAGTATGAATGATTGACTGACTGAACAGCAACCCAGGTTTGCAGAGACCATCCCCGAAGGAAGGAGAAGTCTTGGTCAAGGTGCGAGCTTGCGGGGTCTGCCACACAGACCTTCACTGCATCAAGGGTGAGGTGCCCTTTCCGGCCCCGGCTGTCTTTGGGCACGAGATCAGTGGAACCGTCGTTGAACACGGAAGTGGTGTGGATGCCGGTAGGCTACCTCTTGGAGGTAAAGTGGCATGTACTTTCATAATGCCATGCGGCTCCTGCTTCCATTGCCAGAGAGGGGAGGAGGACACTTGCGCCCCCTTTTTTGCTCTGAACAGACTTAAAGGACAGCTCTACGATGGCAGTACTCGCTTGTATCAAAATGGAAGCCCGGTGGCCATGTATTCTTTTGCAGGGCTGGCTGAGTATGCGGTTGTGCCACAGACGGCGGCATTCTTGCTGCCACCGGTCTTGGCTCAGGAGGCATTTTCAGAGTCTGCTCTCCTTGGTTGCGCTTTCTTCACGGCACTTGGTGCAATCCGGAATGCAGCTGATCTCCGCACGGGTCAATCTACAGTTATTGTGGGGGCCGGCGGCGTTGGACAGGGCATAGTGCAGCTGGCGAAACATCTAGGCGCGTCGCCAGTGATTGCCGCACTTCTGCAGCACCAATTAAGGCAGATGCTGTCGCACTGCAACAGTCCGCATCAGAACCAGCTTCAGTTCTCTGCGTACTTGTTGAATCTTCACTCAGGTTGACATAAGTGATGAAGCATTGCGCTTGGCAAGAAGCCTGGGCGCAGATCACTGCATCAATGCGCGCGAGGACTGTGGGTCTTTTGGGCCCTGCCTGCGCTAAGCTCTTGGAATGCACCATGCTGCCGACACCTTGTTTTTCCCTGAGATGAGGAGGATGTCATCGAGCGAATTGGCGAGCTTACTGATGGCCACAGAGCAGACGTTTGCATTGAAGTCATTGGATCCAAAGCCACGTTCGAGCAGGCTTGGCAAAATCTGAACCACATTTTCGAAGCCTAGCTAACTCAAAAGCAGGGACATGTGGAAACTCAAGTGCTGCTTCCAAGGCGATCATGGCCGTGCGCGATGGCGGCCGTGCTTGTTATGTGGGGATCGCCTCGCCAAAGGTGAGAGCAGAAGTTCCCATCACTCATGTTGTGCGCCGTCGAATCAGTTTGGTGGGTTCCTACGGCGCGATGCTCAGCTGAGGCAGTCCTTGCTTTGTACCTTTTGCCATTGTCATGCGTCAGACACCTCAGGTGCCCGAGCCTCCAAAGACATGCCAGAGCTCCTGGATATTGCCGCGAAGGGTGGTGTCGATTTGAAATCAGCTGTTACCCGGCGCTTCTCTTTGGACCAGGCTGGATAGGCTTGCTTTCACAAAGTGAGTCTGTGAACATGTGGGCCATGTGCGCTTACAGGCCTCTGAAGCATATGCCCTGCTCAATGCGGGCAAGATTGCTGGACGAGCCCTCATCGAAGTGAGCTAGCAGTGTTGTGGTCCTGACGCGGTGCACACGTTGCTGCTGCAAAAAATGGCAGTGCTGTCAGTGCCTTTGCACGAAGATACGCTTTTGCAAGCGATGCAAACGTTCAGAAATGATTTCTGGAGGAGCTCACCGGCTTGATGTTCCGGCAGATGAGCGGTCGGGCCGGTAGGCCGGGAGAGCTGTCTCATGGCAGGAGCACACACTTAGGGTAAATGAGGTGTTCTTTCAGATAGTATGGGTGGAAAGAATCAAGATGCAAATTTCTCCTGCTTGGCCTTCTCCGGCAGTTCCTCATCATCTGAGTCTTCGTTACTGGCAGGCGAGGCTTCGACCTGCTGGGCCAGGTGATCTTCCTGGATATGCCATTCACTAAGGCCAGGCATTCACTTCCTGAAAACAGGGTCAGTGTTTTGGGACACCCTAAGCTATCGCGGGGATCCTCTAATGGAGTTCTTCTACCACAACACTTGCATCCATTGTTGTTTGCAAGCCACTGCGCCCTTAGCCGAACGGCCTGCTGGAATTCTTCTATCTTGGTGGGACTTCAGCCACTTGAGATTGAAGTGCTCTATTTCCGGGCCGGCTGAACCCCTACACCTTCCAGTGTGTGAAGCTTGTGGTTGCTGTGATCTGGCTCCCCTGTGCATCAGATCCAGCGATTGATTACTGCGGACCTCTCGAGTTTAGCTGGAGCCTTGGGGACCTTGATGGAGCTGGTTGCTTTGCCAGACAAGCCTTGATCATGCTGTGATCCCAGGCAGGTGAGTTCACTCTTTCTCCAACAATTCTCTTGCGGGTGCGCTGCCCAGAAAAATCGACTGGAGATGACTGGAGCGGGGTTTGCACAAACAGCTGGAACCATGGCAGCCGCAAGTCGAAAAGTGAGCCGAAGCACAATCAAAAGACTCGGACAGGCACTCCACGAATACGAGCGAATGTTGGAGCTGAAGGAGGCTTCTTTGCTCCTTTTCCGTTTCTGTTTTCACTTGCTGAGCATTCCAAAGACTTGACAGGAGGGAAGTCTGGGTCGAAGTCTTGAAGCCATCACTCAGTGTCTTGCACCAGTGCCTGCACCTGAGCCCCAAAGCTTGCAGACCATTGAGTCCACGATACCGTTTCTACCGTCTAGGTTTGAGATGCCATTCTTCCAGAGCAAAACAGCAGCGCTGAAGACCCAAGCAACTCGGTTTGCATGTCTTGGCGCGTGTCAGCAGCCGGTTGGCCTCGACAACAGCGCAGGTGGCCTTCCATACGCGATTCACCCTGGAGCTTTTGTACAGAGCGGGCAGCTCAGTGTTGGAGCCATGGCCAATGTCTTGCACAACTTCTTGAAATGCCTTCTGACCCACAGGAAGGGCACATCGCAAGGGACGGCTCTACGAGGCCAATGAGAACAGCGAGCGTACATGTATCAGTTCCTTTGTGCTTGTTCCAGCTCAAGCTTCAGATTCGAAGGAATTTGGCAAACTTGTGTACTCACCTCTTTGAGGCAGGGGAAAGAATCAATGGCTTTGAAGTATTGGCCAGCAAAGTTTGCATTTGTGCAGCACGTATAGCACGTCAGGCTGAGCCAGCCAATCTGGTCTTCTGCAGGCCCAGTTCGCCTCGGCTTTCCACTTTCAGCGATTTCTTCTGTTGCTCGTAAGACTTGAGCAGCCTTGCCGGTGCCAAGAGATCATGAGAGATCTCGCCACCGCCACTGGGGTACAAAACGCCCTTCTGTACGAGACGTGGAGTGGGCAGAGTTGCTGACGGTATGGCCTGCAAACTTAAAGGAAAAACGGGCACACCTATCAGTTTCTTTCTTCATTTTTGAAGATGTGTGGCTTTGCATGATGGTCCTGTCATGGTAGCCGTCCCGCTCTGAACATTCTGAACCCTCTTTGTCTTTATTCTCGTAGTGGCTTGCCACTGCTGTGGGTTAGCTTTCCTGTAAAACAGAGTTTGCCCTACCTTCCTCCTATGGGTGCAATTCGTTAAGGCCTTGGAATGGCTTTGGGCTTCATTCTGACACGTGATGTTGGAGGGTCTTGGCTGCCGGGCTTTGGTGGCGGGCAAGTCAAAGCGCGTCGCACGGCTGAGAAGCGACTAGGGATCCTATGACAGCAGTGGCATAAATTATCATCCGACGCGTGCACCGTGCTGTTGCTAGCTCCGAAAGGTTTGTACTGGGGTATATTGGGTGGCGGAGCATCATCGCCCTTCCTTCATAGATCTTGCATGGCGCTTCTGTCGATGGAGGCTACTTTGCAGTGGAGCACTCCACGAGTACTTGGCTGAGGAGGCCATTGCCTTGGTAATCCTTCAGAAGCCTTGGGCCCCTAAGGGCTTGCTTCTTTTTGTGAGACACCCCCATGTGAGCTATAGTCTAAACTCCTAGTATCTCCCCTAATAACCCCTATAGTAGTTCCCTATATAACCCCCTATATAACCCCCTTTAAGGAGTTTAGATAATGGCTCATGTGAATATCTAGATGAGTTGCAGGCTCCCAAGATGCTGAAGGGAGACCGGCGGACACACCTGTCCGTGAAGCTGGTGGCTGTGTGCGGGCCCCAGAAATCTTGCAAAACTCAAAACATAGGCTATCTACTGAGTACTGGTTTCAGCACGGCGGTCATCAGCAAATCGAGCTGCTGCAAACAGGTTGGGCTGGATCTTTTTCCGAAGAAGGCTCCCCGCTGATTCATTTGTCAATCCTTTACGTGTACAATTCTCGAAGGTTGCCGCCGACGGTTCCCAAGGAGCGTCTTCCTCGGAAGAAGCACTTGCCTTCCCAGGCCCACAGATGGTAGTAACTGTAGCAACATGAGAAAGCCTCATCCACAGGCAGGCATCTCAAGAAGAGTGAGAATTGTGCCAAGAACTTGAGCCAACAGGGATGTCCACGGTTGCCGCCGCTGCCATCCAGGATAAAGAAGGACTCAGATTTGACTCGATCCTTCAAAGTTCCAACTTCGTTAGTGACACCAAAGCTGGAAACATTCCAGCCATGTCCCTGCTTGCAGGAGATTCAGAGATACAACACCCAGCTCTTCGAAGTTTTCCAGGATTTTGCCTGGACTGTGGCAATGACGAGGACTCCACTGTGGAGGGTTTCCATACTGCAGCTCTTGTTTGATGGCTTTGTCGTAAAACAAGTACCCTTGACCGTATATGTAAATACATAGATAAATAAGTATATATATATATATATGTATGCATCCTCTTGTCGTGTCATATGGCTGTCAGCACCGCAAAGCACCGTCGTCGTCATCATCATCATAATCATCATCATGACATACGTGCAGTGTACTTCATCCCGGGCTGTATGATGTCAAGGAAGCATGGGCAGATCGACTTGACGTTGCCGGCCAGTGGCAGGCGGTCACAGACAAGTTTCATGTATCAACATAATTGTTCAATGTAGCTGAACATATGCCAGGGAATTCCCTGCGGGCCTGGATGAGAGAGGGGAGCCGTTTGCTGCGGCCTCAGGGGCGTGCGCCGTGGAGCTTTCGGCGCTTGCCTGCGCGTATGATGAAGCGCGCGTTCGTGCAGGACAAGAAGAGCGGTCTTGGAAACACCCTTTTCAAGCAGGCTGTCAAGCTCGAGCCTCGTACGTTCTCGACACCATAGTTCTGGTCGCGCGCTTGCGGTATTCCCAGGTACAAAGCCCGCTCACCCTTTTCGGCATTGTCTGGTGCTGGTGACTTCTTCCTCACACCATCCGATCTATCCAAGAACTGCAGGCTCCCCGTGACCTGGACTACATCAAATAGCCATGCCAGCCATGTCAAGCTACCATGACAGGAACGTTCTGCACTTGGATTTGAACGCCATTCCAACGGTAGCATGCCCGCTGACCGGCGCGGACGCAAGTAGAGACCTCGAGGCGAGACTGCTAGCTCCTACTGTTCTTGGAGGGCTTCTGTTCAGAAAGATGGCCAGGCCACCAACAGTTGGATTCTGGACTTCATGATCCATGGACAACGGAAGTACCTCTGGGAGGCATAGCGCGGCAAGCTAAAAGGTTGGTACGCGTACTGTCACGGACCTCTGCAGGACAATGGCATCAATGCCACACGTGCATGGAAGCTGATTGAAGAGTTTGTGCAGATTCTGAAGAAGGCATGGAGGGCAGTTTTGATTGATGGAATCGATAGAACCTGCTGGAAGCAGTTTTCAACTTTGGAGCGTATGCGGCATTTCAACACATTTGATGCTTCTCAGAACTTGAGATTGATTAGAGCAATGCGGAGTCCGACTGAAGTTCAGCATGTGTACAAAATGCTGAAGTTCTGCAGAGGCTGTGAAAGCGATGAAGGCCGGACTCCAGCACTCGTCACTCATGTTTTGTAGTGGAGTGTCCCAGCAGGCTTTTGCACCTGAAGACGACATCGTGCTGACCACCATGACGCAACTTGCCAAGGTGCGCGGGCAGCAAATTGCAGATCTCGTTCTCACGTTATCGTTGAGACTTGAGCACAGGAGATGGACACCTACCAGAAAAAGGGATGAGCTACCTGGAGCTGAGCCAAAGACGTCTCACGGGTCTAGGTGCCGGGAGTTGTCTGGAAAATTCATACAAGCAAGCAGGTTAATGAGATATAAAGTCTTAAGGCCCCGTGCATGCGCTTGTGCGGACCTTGCGCGTGCAGAAGCCTGGCTCCAATTTGTTTAGATAAAGGCCGCCCATCCTTTTTCCGGAACAGACTAGGGCGGGCGTAACAGGAATGATCTGCGTGTCACACTGCCTAGCCCCTGGCCGACAGCCCAGAGCTGAAAACGGCCAGGATTGCTAAGAACTGGGGCGAGCCTCCCAGGACCTGCCGGGAGCTGTCAGACCCCGGCAGTGTGACATTTAACTCTTTGGACAGTGTGGCTGAGCAGCCGTCCAGCGAGAAGAGTCTTGCGTATCTGTACCAGATCCACGAGAAATGCTTGATCTTAGCATGCAAGACGGTGCGACTCGCTCAAGCCGAGTCCTGGTCAGAGATTCTGCAGGCGTGGATGAGGCTGAGGAGGCCGGCGACTGACGATGTCGCGCAGCAGATCTCCTGACAAGGAAAGACGGGAGCCGACAGAAGTTAAGTTGCCCAAGCAAATGCTCTGCTGTCCTAAGCATGTAGCTATGATTGCCTGTCTTTGGCTCAAGTGCAGTGAGCAGCTGAGCATCACATGTTGGCAGAGCATCACCTTCAGATACTTTCCAAACGATTTCGTGACCGCTGCTTTGACCTTTTGGAACTTTGCATCTCCCAGTCCACAAGCCGCGTGCGCAAAGGGTTTACCAGAGGCCCTCCAAGTTACAGCCCTGAGCCGATCAGATGGCACCAGAGAGGGATGTCGGGCAAAGGTGCCAGAAAAGGCCACGTTAGTCTTCACGTCGATGCTGGCAAGCGTTCTTCGAAAGGCAGGGTTAGGCTAGGAGGGAACAGTCCAGCCGGCAGGGGCTGCTGCATTGGCCGCCTCGCGGGCAGCAGCAGTTGTTGCCAAGGCCCAAGGCATGGTTCTTAGCTAGGTTTCTGGGCCTGTCCTAGCAAGCGCGTCTCAGCTCAACTGCCTGCTTTGCTTGCTGCGCAGATATAGTTGTTCTGTAATCAAATGCTGCTCGTCTTCCCTTTGCCTCTTTCTGTTCTCTACTTTCCGTCTCTCTCCCTCCTCTTTCTTTCTGTCTCTCAGTCTCCCTGACCCTTATCGTTTCGTCTGTGTGCTTGCCGGCATGGTCCGTGTCTGGAATCGATGTTGATGCATGGAACGTGCCCAGGGATTTCTACCAGCTAACATGCCCAATCATCTTCGGGCAAAGTGGGCAGGGTTCATTAAAGATCCTGCAGTCCAAGAACAGTTTTGACGCAGGTGAGTTTACATTGCTGCGATTAGGGGTTTGTTGAGCATAGGGTTTGCGGCGATCAATTGGCAAAGCTTCAGTTGCACATCCTTGCGTGCAGGCATTCAACATTGTCTTTTCTTCCATTTCATCAATCAAGTTTTCCCTGCCACAGTGTCTCGGAAGTCATGGATTTGCAGGCAGCCATTGCCAGAGGCGGAGATTCGGCTCGGTCCGATTGCCTGATCGAGATAGCTGATGCGGAGCAGGCTAGGCAACTCTGATCTCGTAATCCCCTGGCTGCTCAAGTATCTACAAAAAATCGTGATAAAACGGCACCCCATCATTGTGCCACGGTAGTGACTGGCATGCTACCGCGTCCCTGCGCAACAAAAACTGCTCTGAGGTGCTGCCTGGCTCCCATGATTCTGCTTGGGCTTCCAAAGTGAAGGTCGTTTTGCAGCCAGCCGGGCTCTTGAGTTCTCGCATCTCCGGTGACTATTGAGGGCCGAGATTCCTCAGGTGATGCGGCGGTTTGGGCCCGTGCTGGATGTCCGCCGCAACCCCGAACCTCTTCATGGTTGAAGGTAGACCCTTGGCGAGATTCAAAATGAGTACAGCGTGAGGTGTTCCGACAGGCGAGGAGCGGCCTATTGCTACCCGGCGAACAAGGCCATTTTCATCAGCGATGAGACCTGCAAGCTAAGGTTAGCATTCGCTTTGCTAACCCCAAGGGCGCAGAGGTAGATGCCTAAGCTGCTTGCGGCCATGCAACGAAGATGTTGCTGTTCGCATATGCGCTGGCCGGGCTTTGTCAGGCTGTGATGGTCGCAGCCTCACAGGCCTTGAGTATTTTCCATGTCACGCAGGTTCTGCGTACATTTAACAGCAACTCACTCAATGATGTGCATGTTTGCTTTGAAGTCCACTCGCGCAGCGGGTCGAACATGCGAAGCGTTGCAAGGGCTTCTTGGCCGTGGGAGAATCAGAAGTGCGGGTATGCCAGCCTTTGTCGAAGGAGGCCCTGAAACAACGATGATTGAGACGGTCATCTGCAGTAGGGATCAGCCTGTATTCATGTCTGTCTTACCATCCAGAGCCATTTGGATGGAAGCTCTGTGCGAGGTCTGCACTTAGTGAGCCATGTGCCCATATATCAGCTGAACATGAACCTTACTTGAAAGCGGACGCTACTTTTGGAGCCCTCGGTCCAAACAGGGAATCTAGGACAGTTGTGACACAAGATCGCTCCGATGGTGTGCAGACGAGGAATTCCTCAAGAGGATGCCTTCGCGCGTTAAGCGAGGCATGACAGGCTTGAAGCGAAAGACGGCGAGACAGCTGACTTGAAAGCATGTCACGCCATGGCTACCGCCATAGCAACCTTAGATACCTTTGCTTCTTCGACCAACGCGCTGCGGTCAGGCTGTTCGATTTCGAACAGCATAACCGCGCCGTGTTGGATGAAGTGCTGGATTGATGAGCGTGCGCAAGGCTTCAATGTCTTGAATTTCCATTGGTTGATATGCGTGTAGACCTACCAAGCACACCGCAAACAGCGACGCTGTATGCCATACCTACCGAAGTGGTACTGGTGGCGTGTGAGGAAGCGCATGTCTGGAGCATTTTTCGCGGATCTCCTGCCATGCGGCAGGACGTCAGTCCGTTTTGAAGCAGTCCAGGGAAATGTCAGTCCAACAAGGCCTGTACCAAGCAGAAGGGTGATCATGGCTTTTTGAGGCCACACCGTCTGAAGCAGTAGAGCATGTTCAGAGATCTAGATGTTGAGGAGCATCACTGAATGGACCAGTTTGAGGCTGCTCGATCAATCGTGTCTGAGCATAGCCTCACGTTGAGAGCAAATGTGCTGAGCCTGATGGGCATCGTTCTATGGAGATGATCTCGTCATGTCAGCAGAAAGATTACTTGCGGGATCTTGCGGGAGGAGTCGTGAGGCTCGTAGTTGTTGTCTGCCCAGGTGATTGCAATGTGGACACCTCTGCTTGTGAAGGCAGTTTGGCGGACGTTTCCGCCAGCCAGACGGCGACCCGTGCAACAGGGCGCTCAACCAAGCAACTTCTGATGATTCCAGATACCTGCTTAGAAACATGAGATTTCGCCAGGTGAGCCCAAGAAAAAAAGACTTCGTCCCAACGAGCGCTTTGCAAGGACCTCAGCGAATCTCAACCAGACAGTTGGGTCTCCCACGCCGTGAGACCGTTGCCTCGTCTGAGGCGCCACCCCGCATGCCGCAGGTGGAGGTGGAAGAAGAGGATGTGCCTCCAAAGGTTGAGGCCCCTCCTCAGGCTGCCGTGCAGATCCTCAAAAAGCTCTCCAGCACTTTTCCGGAGTGTGTGAGCTGAAGGCAACGCCAGATCCGAAGCCTCCTACAGAGCCTCAGCTACAACATCTACCTCCGGAACCGCCCAGGCACAGGGAGCAGGAACTTGAGCAGATGGTTCCTACCCGGATACAGAGATGCTGTGCCAAAGTACTACACAGTTGTGTCAAAACAGGCCGAGTCCAACATCGGCTGGTCAGAAGCTTGGTGCAAGTCCACAAACATTGCGGAGAATGCCATAGGTTATGATGTCAGACACCTGCCTTGGGTAAAAGGACTGCAGGACGAAGGGCCCATACTAGGAGCCCATAGCTGCTACCTTGGAACCTGTCTAGGTGACGATGATACGGAGGAGGACAGAGAAGTGGCAGCTGGTGAGGCGGAGGCCCTATCCCGTTTCTCGAGAAGTGGCTCCAAAATGATCCCTATCCCTACCGTACTTAGTCCTTCACGGGAACCCCATGATCCCTCTGCAATTCATTGATAACCCTAAAGGGTTCCAAAGGGGCCACCCTGCTATTAAAAAGAAACTCCCAAAGTGCCCAGATGAGCTCCGTTTACAATTTTTAGAAGTTGGTTTTGTAAGGATCCCCTTGTTACTTGAGGGGAGACTGGGGGGGCGGGTCACTTGACGGCCTGTGTGCCACCTGGAGGTTGCCAAAGCCATGGCGGCTTTGTTGGATCAGCCCTTCTCTAAACAGAAGAAGGCAGATTCTCAGGTTTTTGTGCATTCAGCAGTACCCAGCTGGCAATGTTCAGGTGCTCAAGTCCATTCGGCTGCAATGGCATCCGGACAAGTGCTCTTGGCATTGGTCAGGCTTAGCCGAAACTGTGGACCAAAGTGTGAGCCGCGTGCCAGGAACCCTGAACAGGCGGCCATTGCCACACGAGTCTTCCAGTTTGTGCAGGCCCCTCCAAAGCCACAGCGAGCTGCGATGAGAGTATCAGAATCAGGATTGCTGCCACCATTGTAACTTGACATTTCATTGCTTTTCACCTGTTGCTTCGGCTCCTCCTCCTCTTCACTCTTCGTGCTGCCGCGACTGCTGCGACTGCTGCGACTGCTGCGGCTGCTGCGACTGCTGCGACTGCTGCGACTGCTGCGGCTGCGGTTGCAGCACCACCATCGCCGACACCGCCACCACCTCTTGCACTTCTCCGGCGCCTTCCAGCTGTACTGCAATTACTGTGGTCATTGAGTGTTGCCACAAGCTCACTGCAACAGCTTTCCCGCTAGTCCTGTTTCTTGTAGCGCGTCGGAGCTGCGAGGCGCACGACCACTGGCTGGCGCATCATGGCTTGGGCTGATGGCTGAAAAGCACATTCGCGCTGAATGCTGTGCACTAGCATGTCTGCATGTGCGATTCGGAACCAAGCGCCATCCTCAAAAATCAGATTTCTTTTATAGTCTTGATTCTTGATGGTTGTCAGTTTGGCTTTAAGCATAAGCAAGCTCAAGATTTAGCAGCGTGGGCTGGAACGTGATCTGTCCCAGATGCAGCTTTGCACTGAGCAGGCGAGTCCCTGCAGTACACCCATTCCTCAAACAGCCATTTGCGCCACAATTTGCTGTTGCAATCCTGTAGAGCACACGGGCTTCCTTCGCAGCCATGGCAGCTGTAGAGGCTCTGGAGCTGCACGATCTCTAAGACATTTCTGGTAGGTTTACTTTCTGAGTCTCTCAGCACGGTGCTGTCGATGTAAGGCAAAAGCACCTGAAGAACCTGGAGACCCGCCAATTGTTCTTGAGCCACTTGGCTGTAACTTCATGGGAAGTTTAGCTGCAAATTTGCAGCTAGAAGCTGCGAGACGTTGATGAAAGTGGTGATGAAGGACATGGAAGAAGTCCTCACCATGTCAGAGCATGACCTTGCCTTTGGGAACCTTCAGCGTGAGGCTGAAGAGACTAGATGACCAGATGCTGGCGGTCCAGAAGGCATGCTGTTCAAGAGTCATAACGCTGGAAGTCCTGGCATAAGGATGCCTGCTGTAGCCTTCCATGGATGGAGTTGAGGAGTACGAGAAGGAGGTGCAGAAGATAAAGCGCCAGTACCAGGCGCAGCAGGCTCCCTTCATCGAAGCACGAGACAAGGCCAGAAATAGCCAAGCATGTCGCATGAGTAGCAAAGCTTCTTGACGCATCCATTTCGCAACTACGTTAACTCACACACGGCTGCTTTCGCACAGTTGCGTCTTGAACACGCTGTGTTTCACATGCTCATCTGTACCGCATGGTATTTTGAGTGTTGCAGGTGCTTTCCGAAAAGGCGGGCAGCGAGGATGCAGCCACAGGAACGCCCTTGCCTCACTGCCCTCATGCGCTGAGAGCATTCGGATCTCTGAAACAATCTTGCGCTGGCTAAGGCCGGCATTGAAAGGCTTCTGGGTGCAGGCACCTCTGGAGCTGGTGTTGACTTCCCCTCACTTATTGAATTTGTGTCTTGCGTCAGGCTCTCCTGAACCATCCGGCGTCACTTGGTGTAGAGAGCAGCTACCAGGCTCTTGTGTCGCTGACCCTTGTACAAGGTTCGAAGACGAGGTCGAGTCGTACGACATCCCCGTGCTGGAGTTTCTTAGGCCAGGCCCTGAAAACATGTGTTGCAACACCCTGTCATATGTTGCGCGCTTGAGGTCCCCTGATTAACCCGGCATACGGCCCTTCGCTGCAACACCACAAGCCTCAAATGCCCTGTCGGCGGTGTTCAGGCAGATGCTCTCTGTAAAACCACCTTTGTTGTGCTCTGCAGAGCCCCTCGTTGTTCGCGTTCTTCCACAGTTCGGACAACTTATTTCATTCCTGCTCAAAAATAGAACTTTACAGTTTGTTGACGGAAGGCAACAACATTGGATCCGGTAATGGCTGGTGCACCCATTGCGTTCCTAGGAGTTCTTTGACACAGCTATCGAAACCAACTAGCATGAAAAGGGATCACGCAACATCATGTGTTCGAATAAGCCTGAATCCCGAAACCATAGACACTGCGGCTGCCCCCGGATCTGCATATCGCTAGAAGCTCCAGAAACCATGCTCCTCCTGCAGCTACCTTTCCTTCTCTCCGAAAGTCCAATTCCCATTGCCCTCATCACTGCCTCTACACATGCCATCCCGTAAGTTGAAGCGTCTTGTTTGAAGAGCTTCTCAAAGTCTACGGTTTCTTTCTTGGAGCCTTTGGGTAGGGCTGCTATCCTGTTGAGCGCTTCTCAGAGCCTTTGCTTCAACGTTGGACGCGAAGCTGACAGCTCGACCTTGGGTTTTCAGATGAAGCCTTGGCAAATGCGAGACGTGCTGGCGAGGAAGCTGTGCCCGTAGTGAAGTGGATCCTGCCAGACGTCCTGGCAACCCATCTTGAACATGAACCTGATGCGGAAGCAGGCATCTGCAAGGCCTGCAAGGCATCCGGAACAGTGACGTGCATAGCGCTCGTCGACGGAAAGGAGCTGTCAGCTCGATTGTCGAGCAGTTCTCTGTAAGTGCAGGGGCCCAGACAGTGTCGGTTGACTGGTGTTGAAGTCGAGGGTGGCTATGTTCAAGAGCAGTTTTCCGTCTCCTGGGCGTTTGGAAACGTCCACTGCGAGACTGGCAACAAGGTTGAGGGCATCGTGAGCCAGCCCCAAGTGTGCACAATTGAGATTGATGACCGGCAAGTTTTCTCATCTTCGATTATTCTGTCGTCTGTCGTCTGAAACCAAAGCGAGAAAGTCATCTACTTTGTCATCAATCTCAATCCTGTACACTTGCGGTCGGATTCTGGGATCTGTTGAAGGACCAGTTCGTAGAGATCCATGCGAGAAAGATTCTTCTCGCCACTGAACAACCGTGAGATGGTGCAAAAGCAATCATACAAAATTCTGCTAAGGTCAGTGCAGCAGACAACGCCGGTGGTGCTTAGGTTTCCAGAACCCCTTGCAAAAAACACAACTTGGTGCCCCTGTTGTCTCTCACGCTCTTGACTGAGCCTCAGCCATATGTCCAGGATGGACAGTACATTGGATGCATCTAGCAAACATGCAGACTGCATGGTTGCTCCCCGCATCTAATCAGTTGTCTGAAGGAGGATTGCTGAAAACAGGCGTTTGTAAAGGATTTGCTGAAGAGAGCAGCGCTAGCCAAAGTGAGTCGCGTCGGTGCTTTTCATGTCAGGACCATTGAGGCAGAGGACTTGGACAAGGAGGATGCAGAGAAGGGGTTCAGGTAGTTGGCCCAGGCAGTCTTGGCCACACCTCACCTTAGCCTTAGCAGCCTTAGCACTTTCAACCTGCATGCGCTTGCCCAGGCTAATTTTCCATTTTGCTGAGAACCCGTATTTCACCGAGGGCAGCTCGGCTGGCCACAGCCTGCACAAGTAATCTTTGCTTGCCCACTGTCGCGAGGTTCCTTGACCCAAGAGCAACTTAGCTGAACGGATAGGATTTCCTAAATGGTAAACCTGCAAGGCTGCAGGGCCCAGCCCAATCGCCATCAATCGCCCAGCGGCTCATCTGAGGTACCACATGCAGGAACCGAACCGCTACAATGGGGAGGTGAAGGTCAAGGAGCTGAAAGGATGCAGCCCCAGTTGGAAGGCGAGCCAAGACCGATCATGCAGCCTTGAAGACCTTGAAGAGTTGACGAAGAACCGGAGCCAGAAGATTTAGGTGCTGAAGGCGGCAGGTTGGGTACTGAACTTAAAGATTAGCTTTAGAGTTTTCACTTCCTCGCATCATGCAGCCATTTGCTCGGCATGAGCGTTCCATAGATCTGTACTAAATTGCAAGGCAGGAAGTGCACCAAGAAAGCTGGACAGCATCATTGTCAATTTGTCAATCAAGACGACTACTTTGACCTGCTGCGACAAGCTCATTGTTAGGGTTATCATGCCCACGGCAAGATGGTTATGGTAGCAGCTGTAGACTTCAGTGCTGCTAGCTTTGAGGATGCTTTGTTATGTTTGTGCAACTTCTGGCTCGGCTGGTTTCGTGCAGAATCGTTGAAAGCTGGAAATGTTTTTCACGCTCGCATGATGATGGATCAACGTCCGTCTTGACCACGTTGATTTGCGTGATGTGCTTCTCGCCAGGCAGGTCAGGATGTCACAATGGGGAAGCCTGCCAAACAAGCAGGCAAATCCGTCCTGCAGGCGCTTCCCACAGCAACTCGTGCCTTTGCAACTTGGTTGCAGGAGGAAAGAAGAAGAAATCACACAAGGAGGCATGGATCTATGCCAGTGAAGCTGAGAGATAGCTTCGTTGCATGTTGTCACGCTGCCTCGTATGATGGTAGCAGTTTAACTTGAAGACAATGTTGAATCTGTGTAACCTTGTCTGTGCTCTTTTTTGCAACCGTTCACGCCTTGCCAGAAAATGCTGGAGCCTCGCAAGTCCTTCTTCCGAGACTTCTTCCGAAGTCTGAAGGACTGGACTTTCTTCGGTTCTAGGCCAATCTGGGCAGCTTCACACCGCTGTCCTCCCCTTCCTCTGCCGTGCAGGAAGGGGATGAGCTGCCGGAAGACGCTGGTCATGCTGGTTTCTACTCTTTACCAGGTGAATCTCTCATGAGGTGCAGAGGCGATTGCATCTAATCGTATGCCTTTCCACGTTGCACGGGCAGGGGGGAGTCAAGTTCCGGTGCCAGCCATATACAATCTGATAAGCCTAGGACGTGGACACTCAGCAACTATGCATGCAAATCGGCGACGATGAGATGGAAGAGGCATGATCCTGAGCGAGCAGCGCAAGTCTGTGAGTTGAATTGCTGGCAGGAAGAGATGGTTGATGCCTTGCTCGAAAATGCATATGATTGTGGCATGGCATTGCGTATCCTGGCATACTAGCTAGTTGCGTGTGAGATTCGGCTGTGAAGCGCTTCATCGATCAACACTTCTCTTGCAGCTCCAGTCAGGTACTCAGATCATTCCCTTTGCAGTTCGATGGTATACTGGCGAAGCTGCTCCAGATGAGGAGTATGATGATGAGGAGGGAATCGGTGGGAGTGGTGTGGTGTTCATTCAGGCATGCAAAGTTAAGCATTTATGAGGACACCAGCACTAAAATCCATCTGGATTGGATTTGCTAAGTCTTGACAGCTTGTTTGCACATCGCCACGAGGAAGAGGAGGAGGAGGAAGAAGACGAGGATGTGGAGCTGGAGGAAGAGGACTGCACATGCGCATGCTGTGGACATTCCTGCGTATTATGTAGGCACTAAGCCTGCAACAGGAGGGAGGCCGAAAAGGTGGCAAGAAGAAGGCGAGACTTCCTGACACGCTGTAGAGATTTGACCCCTGTATTCCTCCAGACCCCGCAGATCAGGGTCCTCCGGGTACACTCATTTTGAGAAGCCACCATCTACGAATTGATAGCCATAGCGGCGCTGAGAGCTGCCCATGGCAGAGTCATCTGAGGCAGAGCAGCAAGAGTGCAAGCAGCAGTGAGCGACTTGGTGAGAGCGCTTTGGAACCTTCGTGTCTGAATGCTGAAGCAAGTGCTACAAGAATTCAGAGACCTTTAAGACGGGTCTTGAAGGTTCCTCCGGGTGTTGGTATGTGCTTGTACGGAAGATTCCGCAGTGTAGCGTTCTGGGCAGTTCAGGCTGCACACGATCTGCTTGTCTAACGTGTCATGACAATACTTCCATGTGTGAAGTCCTGTCAACTGCCTATAAGCAGCGCTGCACTTAAAACGGACAGCAACAGCAACAAGTAGTCCAGCTATGATGCGAAGATCAGAAATCGTACTGACTGCAGCACTCTAAATACTTCGTATGACAAACTTGCTAGGGTAGCCGCCCTGCAAGGAGTGTGTCGAACGGATGCGCGTCTGTGGCGTGCAACGGCAGTCAAGGGCAATGTGGATGTTTCACTGGGAGCTTCGGAAAAAGACAGTGAGGTTCGACTTGTGACAGGTTGGGTGATGAAGTTGCAGCGTTCTGTCCTCTTATCCACCCTCTTGCATGTGGGGCTGATGTGGAAGCACAGCTCTCCATCAACTTCCATGCCGTGAAAACGCTCCCATTCGACCACCTTGCTTGAGCACCATCAGGCATGTAGTGGCTGCTCAGCCGCTTGTGCACGTGTTGGGCAGAGAGAAGGATGCAGAAGGCAGGGGTGGCGGTCACGGACAAACCCGAAAATGAGTTCCCATGCACTGAAGATGCTGCGGAGGTGGGAGATGTTGCAGGCTTCCGCCTCTTCATCGTGTACGATGGGCACGCTTGTAAAGATGCAGTGTCCATCGTGCGAACTATCTGTACTTACAGGAAGCGGATGTGGAGATAGCATTCCGAAAAGCCTTCAAGGCCTTAGATGATCAGCTCACCGAAGCCTGCTGGGCGGAGCTGGGAATTTGCAGACGACAAAACTTCAGGAACCGCTGCGGCTGCGCGCCTCCATCAAGGGCCTGAAGCTGTGAATCGCCGACCTCGGCGACCGGCGAGATTTCCGTCAGGTTTTTGCTGTTGACCAGCGCCATGCATTCCACCATTCCCGACGATACCTTCAAATCTTCCATTTTGCCTGTGCCACCCAAGAGGAAGCAATACCAGTGAAACGTGCGCCAGAAAAGGCTCTGTCGAAGAGCGTGTGGTCCTTCGCAACACTTCTGCACACCGGGCGCAACCGCATCCAAACCTCTCGCCGATCGCCCCCGCACCTCTATGAACAAACGACATATGCGCAGCTTCAGTGCTGAGAACCACCTTTGGCTTTGGAATCTTCCAGATCCTTGATTGTCTGCAAGCAGCGCTGCACTTCAGATGAACAGGAACGGAAACAAGTAATCAAGGAATGACACAAATCCTGACTAGTGTATAGCTTTGGACTGGCGGGCCTGCACGCATGTCCACGGAGTGCGGCTGCAACCAAGGTCTGTGCGGAAGTTTCACTGCGATCGGACCCGGTGCCTATGCTACATGGTAACATGCGGACACTCTCAAAATTGGATTGTTGTTCGAAATGTGACAGGTTGTGGCAGTTGCAGTAATCCTTCTCTTATCCATCCTCTTGCGTTTGCGGCTCACAGCAGTATGGTGTGCTGAACATGTGAAAGCTTGGCGAAATCATGGGGCGCGTCGGGAAGCTTACGTGTCTGGCTGTGACCTGCGTCGTAGCACTTGCAACGTTTTATGTCTCAAAGGAGGCATTTACAGTGCTTGCTCCAAGAAGCTCACCTCCAACATGGGGACCGACGGTTTATCCAGATGCAGAGAAGCTTCAGAGTAGAGGCAATCCTTTCGCGAGCGGTGCTGCTGCAGTGTTCCTTGGCACGATCGCGGTACGTGCAGCGCAGCAAAACGCAAAAGAGGGCAGCACGGCATGTGCCGCCGACATCTCTGGCGGAAGCCTCGAGCTCTTCTCGCCGGCCAAAGTCAACCTGTTCCTGCGAATCATCAGGCGACGACCAGATGGCTATCACGATCTTGCGTCACTTTTTCATACTGTGGCCTTCGGCGACAAGCTGGTGCTAGAGGCGGGCTTCCTATAGCCAGCCATGTCGTGCACAAAGATTCTCCAAGTCCGGAAACGCCCAAACTTTGAGAACACTGTCTGCGCTGTGCAGGTTTTGCCAGAGGATGCAGAACAGGATCAGCTGGAGTGCAACTTGCCAGGAGTGTGCCCAGGCTCAGTTGCTATTCCGCCTCACGGCATGATGGCTGGAGACGCCTCGCATGAGATTTTGCAGACTCAAGCTTGCCCAAGGCCAACAGATGATTCCAATCTGGTAATCCGTGCGCTGAAGCGGGGCTATGCATCGAGATGTTCAATCTTGCAGTATGATCTGTTGCAGTTCGTTGCAGTTGGCACGCAGGCTGTTTCGCGAAAAGAGTGGAGTTCAACGCTATTTCAGTGTGAAGCTGGAGAAGGAGATCCCGGCGCAGGTAGGTGACACGTGAACGAAAGATCAAGATGGACAAGGGCAAGCAAGTTTGGGGCTTCAGGCTGGAATGGGCGGCGGCAGCAGCAATGCTGCTGCCGCCTTCTTTGGAACCACTCTCAGCTTTCCTGTAGCCTTTGCGTGACTCGCGTAGTCCCTTGCTTGCTGAATATGAGAGAAGCTTGAGGGGCCAACAAGCTGTGTGGTTCTCCTGCCACCCCTCAGGCAGGAAAACTGTGACTCGTGTCATTACTCGCAAACTGGTCCACAGCATCGCAGGATTTGATAGATTGGACCGACGACCCTGTGATCGGCTCTGTGCACTCCTTACACTTGGGCCATCCCCTAAAGAGCGCTTGGACAAAGCGTAGAAGCAGTGCTCTCCAGATTTGAGGACGCTACCTTCTTTCTCTCGGAAGGCTGTATGTTCTGCACCCCAAGTGGAGGCTTGCAAGTGTTCCTGATCTGCGCGCTCTCAGGCACAGCTTACTGCACAGGAAGAGGTGAGATTATAACGCCAGCCTGGCCTGTGAAACCTGGAGGGATTATATAGGGGTTATATAGGGACAATGGAAAAGAAAATGGAAGCTACTATATTATAATAGGGTATATATTGGGGTTATATCTAATTTGCATGCAGTTTTGTTGTGCAAAGCCGTTTCTCGTGCTTGCCTGAATTGACTTTGGCTGACCGCAGGCCTGTGGAACAACTCCCGATTAAAGATGGCTTGAGTGTCTACTTGGCACCGGCCTCTAATCAAAGAAGTGTTGAGCTGCGTGCTGTTGATTTTGAGTAAGCTGGTCGCATCTTTGTTTGAGCTGAGGTCAAACCCAACTGGGGTCTGTCTACGGGGAAGGTTTTTCAGGCAGCGAGGCTTGGAGCGATTTCTGGGGAGCTTGAAGTCTGTTCGAGCTTAAGGCCATGGACCTCTCAGCGCTGAGCACGGCCGATCCTGAGGATCTGAAGCTTCATGGATCAACCGCTTGGTGTAGTAAGACATTTTCAAAGAGAGCCAGGAGCTTCTTCAGACCTTCAAAGATAAGGCTTGCAGGGAGGGAAGAGTTGTCATTCGCACGGTGTCAACCGAGCATGGCAGGGTACCTCACACAGCTCCTGGGTGAATGACTTGGAGAAGCCTGCCTTCAAGGTCTTGTGCTCATGGCCGTTTTGATCCGTTTTGTAGTTCATTTACATGCATGATGCATATGTTTATGCCACAGCCCCTTATGCAATGCGCTCACAGGCTTTTCCAGAAGCCTTCATACCTTTCGGGGAGATGTCAAAGCTGCCCTGTAATCCAGGTGTCGCCAGAACTTTGCGAGCTAAAGGACTTTCTGGCTGGGGAATGGGATTTCGAGGCACATCATCTCACATAGAATGGTACTGACTGACGATGACAGTGCAGAGCAGGAGCAAACAGCGGAAAAGTCGTGGAAGCAACAGTGGGATGTCAGCAAACGTGCCACTGTAGTAATATGCATGTACCAGCAGCATGGTATCAATGAAGCCTTCCTTATCTAGCAGTTCTGGGCAGGCCGTTCTGATGTCAGGGTCGGGAAGCACCATCTTCTGTTTGGGCGATCCAAAGGGTGGTGCTGAAGCCTTCGAGGCCCGTCTTGGCTTTTGCTAGTATTAGTGCACTTATGCGAACACAAAAGCAGTAGCAGGAAGTAGCACCACTACCCCTACCGCTACCGGCTAGCGCTTAGCTATCACAACCACGACCACCATCACGTACAACAGCCATCGTGACAGTCGCGACCACGGCCGTCACCACGGCAAGCACCACAGCCACCACCAAGGCCACCACGGCCACCACCAAAGCCACCTCCACCTCCACCACCTCCAACATGACCTGTGACCACCACCACGACCAGCACCGCGACTAGCACTGCGACTAGCACACGACCGGCAGCAGCAGCAGCAGCAGCAGCAGCAGCAGCAGCAGCAGCACCAGCAGCACCAGCAGCACCAGCACCACCAACACCACCACCGCTGCCGCCGCCACTACTGATGCTGCGAGTGCCCCTTATAGTATGACTAGAACCACCAGCAGTGGTTGTTTCGGCAGTGCCACTGGTAGTAGGAATAGTAGTGTTGTTCTTCTCCTTACTGTTGTTTTCCAACTGCAGATATAATGAAGTGTACCACATCTACCCTTACTACCGTTCCTATCAGTCACCGCACTTTCCACTGACATCAAGTTTTCGAGCTCGTAGTACGGTCGTGAGAACAGACAGAGAAGTAAGGAGTATGAGGGACCACTATGAGGAATTCTAGTGTGCCAGTATAGCGCCAGCCATGCATGCCATGCCCACACCTGAAGTCTAATGATTCTCGGAGGTTTGCTGAGAACGTCACATGCTTTTCAGGCAGCAACCAAGAAGGACTTTGACATTGAAGGCATTTGGCGAACAGAGTTCATGCGCAGCCGGGCAGCAAGTCGGAGTTTCCAAGAGCAAGGGGTCTCATGTAAGGAATCCCACGCTCCTTGTTTTTGAAAAGTACCAAGTTGGATTTGCAACATGGCAACCTGCCGTGAGGTCGGGCCAGTCCGACAGAATGGTATACAAAGGCTTCCAGTTGACTGCTGAAAGGCTCAGCTTCCAGGAAGCTTTGTTTCTCCACGCGTAGAACCGATGGTACTACCTGCCGTCCAGGTTCGCCGATTATGTTTCATCTTTAATGTATGGGCAAAAGCTCAAAGTTATTGTGGGAACCCTCGTGGAAAAAGATCCCTCTTCTTGCTGTGGTTATTGCTGACCGTTGAAGAGCCTTTTTGAGACGTCCGTGCCAGACATGCCCAGGATGCGTTGTGGTCCAGGCTCTGCAGCGCTTAGGATGATAATAATCTTCAACCTGAAGCAGAAATTCATGGGTGCCGTCAGTGACCATGCATGAGTGTCCTTTGATCAAAGCAGACATGGTCTCTCCTGGAAAGATGGTAGCAGTCTTGTCACCACCTAACCACAAGTCCCCTTTTGATGATCTTCCAGCCCAGTCCAAGTTCATGTGGCGCACCTCGCTGCAGCCCATTAAAGTCTCTGGGTAGCATTTCCGCACCTGTCTACTCACCAGCTTCAGAGAACAGCTGCCTGTCAGGCATGGGCACGGCAAGCGACTCGTTCCCTTCGGTTCCGAGATACAGGTATACCTGCAACGCAGGCACAGGCACAGGCACAGGCCTCATGGAATCCGAAACCAGGCCGTGTATGAAGCTGTCATCCAGCCCAGGTCTGCCGACAATTTCAACGCGGCTTTTTTGCGTCGAAGTGGCAGAAGAGGCAGGGCCTCATGGAGATGGCCGGTCTTCTCCAAAAAGTCTGTGGCCTTGAAGGTTGGGGCATCTGCTGGAAGGACGACGGAGACCGGCACCTCCTGAAATTCCAGAGAAGGTGCAGAGCATTCGCAAAAGCAAAAGCTGGGCATTTTGTTTGATTTTCTCAGGAGGAGCTGAAGAATGACTTCGGCATCAAGCCATGCAAGCCGGTCTTGGGCTCCAAACGCACTGGAGTGCTTTGCCCCGAGACCTCCGATGAGCTAATCTGCTCATCATTTACTCACTGAAGCAGAGATGGGTGTGTGTGCATCAGGTTGGCCTATAAGATCGGTTGCATGTCCTTGTGGGACGAATCTTGGCCGAGACCGGGATGCTTGGTGTTTTGAAGTATGTACAAGCAGGGTAGGAGCTGCCTGCAGCAAAGGAGTGGGGAGTGAAGCACATGGTGACTGTTTGTCAGCTGGACCGTTTGCACGTAGTGCCGGGCCCTCTCACTCAGAGTGTGAAAGCTTGAAAGCTGATAACTTTCCTGCAGGCAAAGCATGACTTTGCAGAAGAACGGCTACGAGGATGGATGCCAAGATGTGCAAAAGCCATGCAGTGTTTTTTCGTGAGCCCTGCTTGTCGTGGCCTCGTGGCCGCAAGGCTCTGCAGCTTGGACTTGGATACAGATCAATCCACCGCCTGACTCGGCCAGTATCATTCCCAGTGCCTGTTTTTGCCCATCACGAAGACCACACGTCCCTATGTGCATTGGAAACTCCAGGAAATTGGCTCGTACATCAAGGCAGGTGTTGGTCCGAAGCATCACAAGTGTGAGCTTGGGCCCCAGCACAAGCACTGCCGGATCTACATGCTTCGCACGAAGCCACTATCTTTCACGGCTGCAAGGTTCCGTGTCTCCTCAGATTGCCTTCTGCCTCCAGGATGGGGAACACTGTGGTGAAAAGTAGGTTTGAATTTGGGTTACGAACTTTCATAGACACAGACCGTCTTAGATATTGTGGGTTTTCACAACATTGCGGAGACCAGGACTCGAACTGACTGTGCGGCATTTCGTGCCTGGTCAGTGGGCTGTGCGCCCGGTCGTCCTTACACAGCTTACAGTGATCTGGTGGGGGTTCCCAGAAGTTGCAGGTCTTTGTGTCCGGCTGGAGCAAGGGCAGAGGTTACACCGGAGTCATGAAACGTCCGCCTCCAAAGCTCCTTTGTGGTAGGCGGCCTGAAGGGGCTCAAAGGAAAGATGCCTCTGAGGTTGGGGCTTCTCCGGCGGCGGTTCAGACTTCCACGGGCACAAAAAATCGCATCGATCTGCTGGTTCCGTGGGTAGACAGCTCAGATGAATCAGCTGCGTTCGCCATACTTTAATGGGAATCCTCATTTTGTACAAAACAAGTTGCAAGGTCAACGCGGTCCCGGAAAGGTGTGGGTTGGCAAGAAGATGGCAGGTCACAAAGGAAAGAGGCTCAGGTCTATGAGAAGAGGTTCTCAAGGTTCGCAACTTGTGGCCAGCTTGAGGTCCGGATCCTCGCTGCGTCAATGCCAAGGCTTCGTGGTCATGTGCATGTCTATATGCCACCACATGCCCCATCCAGTGCTTGCACTGACACAATGGCTACTGCTTGTGGACATGGCAGGTCTTTCGAATAGAAAGCACCCGCAACCTGATTTTCCTCAAGGGAGCTCTGCCTGGTTACAAGGAGCGCCTTGAAGAAGCAAGACACACAAGTGGTACGCTTTGCTGTTGAGGGCAGTGTGGTCAAGATCAGCGATGCTCGGGGCAAGACGGCCCTGAAAAACAATCACATCAGATTGTCCCCGCCCTACTCGTCATCAAATGTTCTCAAGCGCCCAGAACGGAAGCTGTCACTCAGGCCCTTCCCTACCTTTGTGCCGGTTCCTGGTGTGGAGTACCCTGTGACAATACAGGACATGCGATGACAGACAGCCAGATCAGCCATCAGATCTCAGATTGCAGAGTCTTTAGGAGCCGCCTCCTCAGAGAGATCCTTTCCTCTATCCCGAGCAGCCGCTCTACCAGCCGCTTGGCGGACCACCAACATGTTTTGATCTTTGCATCGCTTGGCTGGCCCCCTTCATTCCGAGCCTGTTAGGCCGAACGACTAGATGGACGGAAAACGATGATAGTCTGAGACCACTTGATTGCAGTTGACACAAAAATTGGACGTCAACACGTTTTGTGCTTTTGCGTTTCCTCGTTGATGATTATGATTTGCTGCAGAGTCCTGCTGCATGCTTCCTTGCACTCAGTGCTGTGCTGGTCGACCGCCTGTTTGGCAAAAACGCTGCCATACCGGGCCATACCACACATTATGCAGTAGGCAAGCTATCTCGACAATTTCCGCATGCGCTGCAACCCACAACAGTAGCCAGCGTGACAAAGAAGAACGTGGCCTTTGTCCTGAAGTCCTAGCTCTCTGTTTGCGTTTTGTACAACGTCCACAGCAAGCTCACGCGGCACCCCTTCCATTTGGCCTTGGCTGCTATGGACTGGTGGCATGGGCAGTTTGCAGCTCAGCAGTAGCTCCAGGCATAGCCCTGGCCTTTTTTGATGCAGTTTCTGCCATCAAGCTGCTGGCTGCTTGTGCGTGCTTTTACTGTTATGAAGTTCTGTCAGGATGGGACGTGATGCAAAGACCTGATGACGGCCTACCAGCCCACGAGCGAGATCCCGTATCTGCAACACAAGCAGGATGACCATGGCGGAGGCGGAGCTGGAGGGAAACCAACGTGCTTTCCGCACAGACATGGAAGATGACAAGGTCACGCCTCAGAGGATGACAATCCGCTTGGCCGCTGAGTTTGAGCAGCGGCGTGAAGACTTTGTCAACAAGCTTGAAGGGGCGCTGGAAGCTCATGGAGCTGTGCCTCATCAGGATCCTGGGATTATCACGGGAAAATTCGAGGAACTTAATGCGGTTGACGCAGAGTTTTCTCAGCAGGATTACAGTAGCAGGGCGAAACTCGAGGAACTTCATGCCAAAATGCCCCTTCACCTGGAACTCATGAGGAAAGGAAAGAGATATTGGCACAAAGACGGATCCCGCGGGTAGCCAAACTGACGATGCGCGCGCAGCAACGAATGGAGACCCACATGGCATGTTTGGACACGCTCAAGAAAAGCCTGCAGCAGACAGGACAAGAAGAAGAAGAACTTGATGACTCAGTTGTGGAGAAGGTGCTGCTCAGCGGCCTGGACTCAGAGAAACCTGACAGCCTCTGCGACGGAGCAGCGCGGTGGCACCAATTAACGTGTGCATTGAGTGCGTTGAGAAGACGGTGTGCGAGTCATGTGCGACTGTGGCTGGGACTTACGACCAAGCTGTGCAGAGAGTAAAGCGTGAACGAGTGTGAAAGACAGAAGCTCCTGCAGGCTGGTGTCAAAAGCCAGCTCCTCTACAATGGTGGCGGCCTCCTCGCCGGATCTGCTCTCAAAGGCTGACGGAAAAATTCTGCGATTGATGCGCCCTCCGCGGCTATGACATGCCTCAAACATCAAAGGAGTCATATGCGGGCATGCATGGCCTATGGCGTGGGACAGTAGGCTGATGCAGCCGCATACTGATGAGGTCTTCAAGGCCAAGTTTTGGCCGAGTGAGTTTGAGCCATCAAGGAAGCACCTGGAAAACGAGAGCCGAGTTGCGTTGCCTTGAAGCTATGCCGGATTTCTTGTCAAGCAAGAATTCTTACTAGGTCAGAGCAGTGTCTGGCACTTTGGATTGTCATCCCAACGTGTGTGGGTATTGCAGCCTGATATTTACATACGCATATTTGGCAAACCAACGTGGCAAACTTATCGAACGCGCTGCGGGTAAGGGTTCCATCAGTTTCTACAAACAATTTTTTAGGGTTCCATAGGAGGTTGCTGGCAACACAGCAGAGAGAATCGCTGGCCTGGCTGGTCTCCTTGCCACGCCGCAGCCTTTGGGACCAAGGTTGAAAGCACGTGGCATCGCGTAGCATATGCCCTTGTTGCATTGTGTTTGCTTTTACCTCCAGGTAAGCAAAGTTTGTTGACAGGCTTTGGCTGAAAAATGAGGATGTCTGTAGTTTTTGATCACAAAGCAAGTTCCCAGTAGCCGGTTAATTCTTATCAGCCATGGCGCGGATGGCAGACCACCACGGGTCCGCTCTACAGCAGTTTGGTCAGGCCTGCATCCTAGTTGTTGTCGATTCGTTCAGGTTGATACAGAATGTGGAGCATCCCCTGGCGCAGCTTGCTGGCGGAGGCGTGCTGCTCAGGCCTTTGTTCCAGGTTGCTTTTCTTGCATTTGAGGACAGGTGGCATCGAGCTTCGAGCAACTATCGCCCTTGCAGCAGCATCTGGACATGCATCTTGTGCTTTCTGCATTGCATAAGAAACAGTTTGCAAGTTGCGCTATGGCAGTCGTGGCCTACGTTCGACAGGACACTCTTCGTGGCTCTATTGACTCCATGAACGCGGCCGCTGCACTCAGCCTGTGGGTCGTGCTGCTGCCTTCACATCCTCTGAGCTCAAAAGAAGGCATGGGGCAAAGGCCGAGAAGTCATGGCCACCCTCTCAGACAAGTCAGTGGCTGTGGCTGCCGTGTGTGGTCTCAAGCACTAAACGCGACGCAAGGAACGGACTTATGGAAGAGCTCATGTGCATTCCTGCCTTGAGTTGTTGACACAATCCTGGAAGTATCCTTTGGCCTGGATTTTTGACCTACCTGTTGAATGTCAGCTGATATTTGATCTGTAAATGTAGGTGGGTATGCTGTCAAGGGCCAGGTAGTAGATAGTACATGGAGTCCATGCTGTTAGATTTTAAGACAGATCTCGAGCCCAGCGCAGAAGGATAAAGATCTTGGCTGGACATCCATGTCATGGCCAAGACACAGCACTGTCCATCTGGCCATGCGTGGCAGGCTGAAGCAGCAACTGGATTCGACGTGGCAAACAGGGCAAGCTGCGCTTTCCGCTCAGTGGTGCTTGCTGTTTTGAGGGCTACTTTGATACTGAAGGCAGACTTAACCTAGGCTCGACGCAGCTTGCCGACGGCTTCGTGACAATTTGGACAAGGCTGGAGAGGACAGAGCAGTCTGTCTAAGCCCATCGTCAGAAACTAGCGCATGACAAGAGGGAGTGCGCAGGACCGAATACTCTGTTGGGACCTAAGATTCAGGAGTTCTTTTCGGAGGGACCTGGCTCGGCAAATTCTGTTCTTGCTAAGGCGAGGAGGCGCAATCCAGCGTAACGGAGGGCTTACCAGCCCTGTTCCTGAAGCGCTTCAAGGACACTGCTTTGACCGGAACTGACCGTACTGGTTGTGGCAGACTCGAGTTGGGACATCTTCTGAGGACCCTATGCGCTTTGCCACCTTCCAGGGAGGCTCAAACGAATCCATAGTGGACCTGATCGCTTGTGCACCTCCTTGGCTTTGCAGGTGTCATCCATGGATGTCAACCTTCGCAGTTCGGCTCTGCACAAAGCGATGAGTGGTGAGCTGAGGGAAGCAGAAGTAGATATTGTCCTCCCGGTCCAGGGCTTCCCTTGGTCACAGCTACACAGCTACGCAGCTACGCATGAATCCCAAAAGTCTCCGTCCGCTAGGTGCAGCTGTCCCGCTGGGCATGAAGAACTTGGCTGCCAAGATTCCACAGATACCTCAAGCCTGAAACACAGCTTGCTTACTGCATGAGCAAGAGGCGGCATGTGCTGCTAGCTGCTCGTCGAGGCTTTCAACTGAAATGTAGCAACGTGCTCAACACGCAGATTCCTTCTGCGGGTTATCTGGACTTCTTCAAGCTTCCTGGCTTTTCAATGCTGAAGATGCATGAGTCATTCAACGCCTCGTGTATTGGTATTTAGCGGCCTGCATGGCAAAGGTCTGGTGGAGCATGCAGCATCTCGGGGCATGATGACATTGTGAAGTTGCAGGCTTAACTTCTGACATTTGCCAGGGGGATGGCAATAGTCCAGATTCTGCAAAGGATAAACCGTAGCGAGCCACAGCAAAGCTCTGAATTACAGCGCTGCTGAGGCAGGTCGTTGATGACGACATGCTCAAGAATCTGCAGGCCCATGGTTTTCCAGGAAGATGGACGTGCCATTTCGCCGAAGCTGCCCGTCCATGATCATGTGCCCTCTCACGCAAGAGAATATGCAGTAGCAGTAGCAGTCTGCCCCAATGTTTTCTGTGAATCGCACTCCTCACTGGCCGGACTCTGCCTGGCCGCCAGTCTTGGCTAGAGTCATTTACACACAATGCCGCTTGTAGTGATATGTGTTTCGTTTTATGCTCACATCGTTGATTTTCTGGTGTCGAACATCACGCGCGGGGCTTGGCTGTACACGAAGCAGAGGGTTTGCTTGGAAAGGTAGATTCGTTTCCCGTTGCATAGCCGGTGAACCCAGGATTGGGCAGATCGCTTGTGCGACCTTATCACCTTGAAACCGAAGCCAGAAACGAGGTGATTTGCAGAATGCTGCTACGAACCCGGCATGTTCTGCAAGATCCTAGCAAAACCCTGGCAAGCCGAATAAAGCTCATTTCTGCGCAGGTCTGCAATATCACCTCTGAACCCAAAACCAATCTGCTAGCATAGAGAAAGTTGGCCAGGTGATAGGCAGGATCTGGAGTCGAATAAGAGAAGCAATGATGGGAAGAAGCAGGGGAAGTAATAACAGTCGCAGTCGCAGTACTAGCGGCAGCAGCTGCAGGAAATTTGGGAGGCAGAGGAAGACCGAGAGCGTCAAGCATAACATGACGTCCAAGGAGGAGAGGAAGGATGAAGAAGAAGAAGAAGAAGAGGACGAGGAGGAGGAGGAGGAGGAGGAGGAGGCGCAAGAGGAGGAGAAGGAGGAGGAGGAGGAGGATGTGGAGAATGAAAAGAAGCAGGAGCCGATGAAAAAACACATGCCACACTTATTACTGGTAAAAAGTAGAAGCAGGAAAGAGAAGGACAAAAAGGGGAAGAGCAGGAGAAGAACAAGCAGAATAATATTCACAAGAAGAGGAGAAATGGAGGAGGAAAAAGAAGAACAGAGGATGAACGAGAAGAAGAGGATGATGAGAAGAAGAAGCATCAGCATAGCAAGAAGAGACAACAAGAAACATAGCACTGACGAAAATAATAAGATAATGGGACTAAGAAGCATGGCGAATACTACCACAAATTTAGGCTGACAACCGCCGCTGCGGCGGTGATGGCAGCAGAAGCCGACGAAGAGACAGCAGAAGCCGATAGAGAAACAGCAGAATTTCAAATAGAAGAGTTACAATTAGAATAGCAACTACAAGAACAACATAGTACAGAAATAGCAAAGTACAGAGGGTGAAGGCAAAGACAAGGAGCTGACATTGCAAAGGAATAATCAGTGCCTAAACCCAGTCTAGACCCTAAGATACTATAGCACTTGTTATGGGGACACCCGACAAAAAATATCCCTGAGTTTGGGGAAGCTCCCACGTTGCACAGGAATCATCAGTGCCTATGGACTTGGCACTTGCATGCTGTGCAAGCTGCCTCTCTGAACAACGTCTTCGGAGAAATGGCTGGTGACCCAGTTGGACTGACATCCTCGGAGAGGAGCCATGTGAGGGGTTAACGTAGCTGGTGTAGGGTAATAGCGGGGGGTAATATAGGGTTATTTAGGGATAATGGAAAAAGAAATGGAAACTACTGTAATATGATAGGGTATATATAATGGGGTTATATAGGGATAATGGAAAAGAACATGGAAACTACTATATTGGGGTATATAGGGTTTAGG